TGACGCGTTGAATTGCAAAGAATTGTCGAATAAAGTTATTATTTTTGTTTTCTTTGTGCACAAAAAGTATTCTTGTAGCTTTGTAATATTACGGTTGAACCCCTGATGTCACATGGATTATCTCCTTGCTACGTTTCTGGACGTTGATTGTGGTAGTACCCTTGCTGTCTATGGGAGGGTCAGAGAGCTGTCAGAATGCATCAAAAATATCTTAATTTGTGTTCCAAAGATGAACGGAGGTCTTACGGGTTTGGAACAACATGAGGGTGAGTAATTAATGACAGAATTTTAATTTTTGGGTGAACTATCCCTTTAAGAGGAAGTGACTGAGAGCACTGATTGTTCACATACCCCTTTCTTCGCAGCGGCTGGCTTCTTCTTTCCAATAATGGAGGGTTTCACTTCTGAAAACAGACAGCATAGTCAGAGAAAAGTAAACCATGTCTTCCTAGATTATTCCAGACAAGGATCATTAGTGCATGGCGATACAGTGCCCTGAGAAATATCATGCCGGCAAAGCCTGAGGAAAGGGAAGAGGTCACATCTCACACAATCAATTCGCTTATTAGAGAAAGAGTGTGTTTAAAGTGTACACATGAACACCGGGAACATCCATGCAGCGTTATTATTGAATATTGAACCAATGAGTTACATCATTTAGCAGAAAATTGGGGCGTCTGGAAGCTTTGTGCTAAGACGAATGCTGAAATTGGTCTTAAGATTTACCCCCACTGCATCCTGATCAACAATGAAAAGCCGCTCTAATCTCATTCCAGGGCACAAGTCAATCCAGACTGGAAAACACATTAGAAATACCATGGTATAAGATCTGGGTCCAGACTGGAAAGTGCCTTAGAGCTCTTTATGAGATTAGAAAACTCTACATTACACTTTTTTTAATCAGTGAGCAACTTTATACACCAACTATGGAAAAGTAGGGTAAGATATGCCAATTTTAAGTTTAAGGAATAGCTCACACGCACAAAAAAAAATGCTGCAGTTAATCCAAACAGCTGAACATCACAAACATCACAATTCACTTGTAAACAGTGTTTAATCTCTGCATATTTCTCTCCTGATTCAGCAAAGATGACTTTCACTGGAGAAAGCAATACTATGGATTGAGGACAAATTTTTGAAGAAAAAAAAAAGAAAGCTTGATGCATTTGTTTCTTACAAAGACACCACTTTTTGCTTCACAAGACGTTATTTGATGAACTGGAGTGGTTGTGGGTTATTGTGATGTTTTTATCAGCTGTTTGGACTCATTCTGACGGCACCCATTCACTGCAGAGGATCCACTGGTGAGCAGGTGAGACGTAATGCTAAATTGTTCTGTATCTGTTCAAATGAAGAAACAAACTTGCACCACAAAAAATGGTCCAGTGACACAACCTGCCCCACAGTACGAGTAAGAATTGGTAAATACGGCATAAATAAGAATAATTATACAGTATATAAGTTAGTTCTGCTATACGAACAGATACTAGGGAGGTCAATAGTAGCAGAAATGCTTAAAGTCATTAAAACAATCAATTCCAAGCAATGTTTCAGGCTCAGGAGAAGTGCAGCCCAAAGTATACTTCAGTTTTTGTGTTTTAAACTATACAGAGTACAGTATAAACGAAGTGCACATAAAGTTGCGTAAGAAAAAAAAAATCCATGATAGCGTTTCTGTGCCACTACAAAAGAGAGAAAAAAAGTGAAAGGCTGATTACATTGGGCAGAACAGAGAAAGATGTCAAATCTGCCGTCACTCCTTCAGCCAAGTGTTAAAAACACCCACACAGCAGCAGCAACTAGTCTTCTAATATTCATTCCCAAGCTAATATAAAGAATAGTGTTATAAATTTACATAATTATTTGATGAATATATATAAAAAATTGGCTAGATTTATTATGTAAACTGAGGAAACGCATTCTCAGTCTGTGAAAAGGGTTCATAAACTACTGGAGCAAGCAACAACTATAGACGGCCATGTTGACAAGAGTTTGTGTAAGGGAATTAAGAGATACTCACAATTCTAGTTTAAGTGAGTGCAAAGACATTTTTATGGCTAATAAGAAATGAGCAATACATTTCGCATACACTGGACAAGGATGAAACCATCCAGTGCGCATGTGTCATGCTATCAAATAGTCTCCTTTTAAAGGCTATGATTTCAGCTGTATGCATGCATTTGTGTCAAAACTGAATTATACTTTGGGCTTTCAGCTCTATTAACAGCATATATTTCGTAATGTTGATCAGCACTGAATTTCTCAATTTTAAATTAAATCAACAATTGTGTAAGTGCAATATACACAGTCCCTGATGACCCCGAATAGATCTGAATCGGTAAGAAAATGCATTATTATTTAAAAGCAGAAGTTTATTTTTACAGTAACACCAAGCTTATAAAATATGAGCAGTTTTGCAGTAATAATATGATAAAGAGGAAGGGGTGGAGCCAAAGCAGCGCACACACTCAAATTAAGTATCAGTCAAGCGCAGAACCATGCTGCTTCATTCTGATCAGCCAATAGGCATCCTGCCATTTAAAATCATTCAAATCACCTTCAGGAGACTGAGACTCTTCAGACGTCAATCTCATTGAGTCCTCTACATTAACAGAACAGAAAGCAGGCTTTCAAATCATTTGCAAAGAAGGTTGCATATCTACATTTACTAGCTTGTTATTACACATACAAATTATTTTAATGAGACTTAAAGGTGCTGTATGTAGGATTGACACTGAGTGGTTGAACTAGGTATTGCTGTCCAAATTCTAAATATTGGAGAGGGTTTTTTCACCCGGCCCCTCCTCCTCAGACTTGACGCACACGCAGGTTGCCAGATTGACGACACCAACAGGAACGAGCGCACTTGACGATGAATGAAATTAAATACGCTGTGTTTTTCGCCAACTGGCAACCCGGGTCCCGAAATACAATTGGGTGAACTGGCAGTGGGCGGGTTTCACAAACCAAAACAGAGACCGACATTCCGGCCCGGAACGCACATTTTCAAAGGAGAATAACTGACTAGCATTGTTTTTCAGATGAACAAGTATGTTAACTTAGCATGTTTCTTAAATATCTGCAAACATATTATGGTATTTTTATGCTTTAGTAGAGTCCAAAACTTACATACAGCACCTTTAAGTATGTAGTTATGTGTTTTTGATATATTATTTATAGTGTTTTTTAAACCATGCCGTTTTATTTAATTCTTTCTGTTGTCCATAAAAAAGGTTGATATATGGAATACTTCATTAGTTTTCCAAACAGGTCCTGGAGCTTGACTTACTTAAGTGAGCAGGTTGCCAGATTGACGACACCAACAGGAACGAGCGCACTTGACGATGAATGAAATTAAATTCGCCAACTGGCAACCCGGGTCCCGAAATACAATTGGGTGAACTGGCAGTGGGCGGGTTTCACAAACCAAAACAGAGACCGACATTCCGGCCCGGAACGCACATTTTCAAAGGAGAATAACTGACTAGCATTGTTTTTCAGATGAACAAGTATGTTAACTTAGCATGTTTCTTAAATATCTGCAAACATATTATGGTATTTTTATGCTTTAGTAGAGTCCAAAACTTACATACAGCACCTTTAAGTATGTAGTTATGTGTTTTTGTCATTATTTATAGTGTTTTTTAAACCATGCCGTTTTATTTCATTCTTTCTGTTGTCCATAAAAAAGGTTGATATATGGAATACTTCATTAGTTCTCCAAACAGGTCCTGGAGCTTGACTTACTTAAGTGATTCAATGTTTGGTGAGAAAGTACTTCCAAAATAATATGGGGAATTGGGTGATGAAAGGAGAAACAGAAACATGGGGAAGTTGTGATGATAATACACATTCTGCCGGAGCACTCAAACACACAATCTGGTAAACACTCACCTATTGTAGCTTTAGGACTTGTGCTCAGTCCTTCAATGCTTGGACCCTCTTCAGACTCTGCATCACACGGACAAGAAATGATTAAATGTAAAAGTACTGACAATGAAATGCATGAGTTGTGATGTGTAATGCGGTACACTCACGAGTGCTGGTCTCTGAACTCTTAGGATTGCTCTGCTCCAGTTGAGGGGTTATGGCTCCGTTCTCATCTGTTAGGGATGGGGACGCCATGTTCCAACTGTTGGCAGGCTGCAGGTAAGAGAACAATTATCAAATTTCACATATCAAGCCATAATAATAATGGCATATCTGCATGAGCACAATATTAATGAGATAATTGGTTACACTTTATTTTAAGGTCCAATTCTCACTATTAACAAACCACTGATTACGTTGGTCAGAAGAGAGAACAACACTGTGTCCTACCTGTGTGTGCTCGACAAAGAAGTCAGTCTCTCTCTTCTCTACAGGTGATGGCTGAGCACAGCCCGAGTTGTCAATCCACAGCTGAATGAAAAAAATACAAATCTAAATAAATGCCCTGAACGCAGATCTCCAAATATGAACTGGTTTGTCTGTTGTGCTTTCATAACTAGCGAGTCTGGGAAGATAAAACTAATGGATACAGTGTGTAACGTGGAGTTTATTCAGTGACTCAAGTTCAAAGTTTATTCAATATCACAAACACCACAGCTGCATATAGCAAGAGATGAAATCCAAATATCTCATTGCATTACATAACTAAAAAGCAACATTTAATAAAATACATGAAATGATACATGAAAAATACATTTTAGTAAATAATAAGATGTCAATCACGTATACGATAATCTAGAGTGCTGGTGGTTCACAATTAGTAGGTTGCATGTCTGTTGTCAACAATTCAATCAAACTCATCCACAAAAACACTATTCAATGTCGGACCCAGACTGCATTAAATACAAGTTCACTTGCAACAAGGATAAACATGGTTTGTGATAACCACAAATGCGTAGTTCTCTAAATTACTGGGGTTTACAAACTAAACATGAATGTTACTTATGAACACAGGCCTGTTGTAACAAAAGTTACGCACCATGTTCAACGTAAAATCATTGGGAATGACTTGCGATGCGTTTAGTGCATGTTAATAGCATTACATTAAATATATTTTAATAACCAATGCTGACAACAAATCCATAGTTCATTTTCTAGGCAGCGATAATGCTGGAACGGTATGAGATTGATATACTCACATCAGTGCCATACTTGGAGAGCGCAGCGTTGGCAAGCTGTCGAATCTTCTCTCTGTACATCTGAGCCGCACGACTGTTATACTTCGCATTGGTGTCGTTGGTGGTACAGCCGTGCTGGCGGAAAAACCCCATCTGTGCACAAAGAAAACATGGGAGTGATGAAGTGATGCAACATGCACAGTGTCTACAGTACAGGTTAAGCTTTAATAAAGGTAGAACTGATGCAACTGCATGGATATTATAGGGTAGGAAAAGAAGAACGAACCGCGTTGGCATTTCCTCCAACCTGCATACATCTCAGCTGAAACCAGCTCCAGTTGGAATCCAGCTCTGTGGATCTGGAAAGACAATATTCTACACTTTAACTCACCCTCTAACTCTAGCCTAACGAATGAATGAGACATTCTGTAACGCCACGGATGAATACAAATTTTGACAGACATTCACATGACAGCCTAATTTCATAAGAGAGAAAAACAATAGAGATCCAGACTGACCTGATAAAGCTCAAGTGCACTCCCAAGGAGCGATGTATCCCAGAACAGTCAATGCACAGAAACACTCCATATGAAATACTGGCCCAACTCGGGTTCTTAGCAGCACAGTCAAAGCAGGCCTGAAAACAAACATACATTTCATTACATTTCCTTCATTCAAAAAAAAAAAAGAAACTCCGTAAACTACAGTGTAAAAAAATCCCAGTCCTCAAAATGAAAATGTCCTCATATGTCTAGGACTCGTGGCTGAAATGCACTTGAAGACTGCAGACAAACAGATGTTCTAACATCTGGTTCAATGATGTTCATAAATATTACTTTTGGCAAAGTGTAAATATGAAGGAATGCAGGAATTAACAAACATTACATAAGGCTTAACATATAATTCATTTATAAACTTTAGTCTGCTGATATATAATAAATAAATAAATATAAACATAATGAGAATAAGAGTTTCAAAACACCTCCAACCAGTGTTGGGGTAACGCGCGTTACGTAATCAGATTACTTTTTTCAAGTTACTAGTAAAGTAACGCATTACGTTTTAATTTACAAGAGAATATCTGAGTTACTTTTTCAAATAAGTAACGCAAGTTACTTTTTTTTCTCAATGTATTGATGGACAGCTCTGCTGTCCCCATGTTGAGAGAAATCAGATGTTACTGTAGTTCTAAAATAAATATGAATATGCATTAATTCATCTCACTCGCAAAAAACAAACAGATTCAGTATTCCTCAAAATGAATACAAATAATGCAACTCAGAATATGACGCAAACCTGCAATAATTAAATGTTAAACAACACAAATATGCTTTATGTATTTAATCCCACTCTATTAACAATGTCTTTGCTTCTGAGCTTCGATGATCCAGTTCAACCGTACTAATAAACACAAATTACTCTAGACGAACATTTGTGTCTTTGTTTATTGCTGAAGTGTGTTGAAATGTCTTCTTCTGCATTCTACTGTACGGATGTAAATGTACTTTCCCTTCAGCCTGATGCGCATTCATTTCACTTCTGGTGTGAAAAGGCTTTTATATTCGCCAAAAATATAACTTTTTTATTTTAAAAACAAACAAGCAAGCCCTGTCCAGATTTAAAAAGTAACGTAACGCATTACTTTCCATAAAAAGTAACTAAGTACCGTAATTCGTTACTTTTTTTTATGGAGTCACGCGATATTGTAATACATTACTTTTAAAGTAACTTTCCCCAACACTGCCTCCAACTAATTTGAATGTACATTAATTCGCGATCTCATGTCCTAATATACATATTTTACAAACATGAATGAGTTTGATCCGTCTTTGGGACATTCTACACAGGAACCTCCGCGGGTTTTGAGGCACATTATTACAGGAGGAGTCATTTTCCATCGCCCCTGCGTCATTCTAAACCCGCAATCAAGTGACTTCTCTCAAGACAGCTCCTTTAGTCCGAATAGCTTGTTAATATTAAGTCATTGGTGTCGGACAGCTGGAAACAGGTGTGATGTTGACAGTAAACATGATGTGTTGGACGGGACCCAGGCCCCATCAGCACCGGCTTAGCGACAAACAAATGACCCGTAACCCCACACGAAACAAACACATGGATGTCTCCGAACAGGCTAGAACGACCATGAAAACATTCACAGAGAGATGTCAATAAGACCTGGTGTGTTACCTTGTTTGTGGGTATGGAGCGCAAGCGTTTAAAAATGGTGAAAATTTCTGTCTTGTTCGGTTCCGACGCCATCTTGCCAACTGAGCAGCGCGAAAACAGAAACCAGAGAAGATGAAAAGAACGGCCGGAAGTGATGTTTGTGGAGGTCGCTCGACGAGATACTTCTTCTTCTTCTTCGGTTTTATGGCGGGTAGCACCAATGTTAAGGTGCATTATCGCCACCTACTGTAACCAGCGTTTACCCTTTCATAATAAGAGACTCAGATACACTACAGAATAAACGAAATGTAATAAAAACGTGAACATACATATGCTATCCGTCTAACACAACGAGTTTCATTTAGGCCCTACTGCACCATGCACATACACGAAAATGAAATAAACATAAAATACAAATCAGTATTTTGGTGAAAGCTACTTTTTAGACATACGCAGCTGGAGTTTTTTGTTGTTGTTGTTTTTTCAGCGCAATAAATCTGCTTTTATAAATCAAATATTGATTAAAAACGTATTTAAAGTATTCATTATTAAAGTCTAAAACCAATGTGCTTTATAAACACTAATAAACAGCCAATGTTATTAATAGGCATGCTAATAAATTAAATTACATTTATGCATTTAGCAGACGCTTTTATCCAAAGCGACTTACAGTGCGTTCAGGCAATAACTTTTTTATCAGTATGTGTAAAATAATTAATTAATTGATAGTGAGAACTGGTCCCAGGTCTAAACTGGTCTAAAACCTATTCAATTGTGAAATTATTATTGTTTTTATTAATTTTATTATTTTTTTAAAATGTCAATAAATTCAAAAAATAATGCAAATTAAGGAAGAAGAAAAAAGAAAAAAAAACTAAATAAATCAACAACAAAAAAATATGAACTATATACAGAGGGGTATTGAGAGCAGATCCATATCTCTAACTACAAAATAAGTGCAAAGGTCCTTAAAAGGGATAAAGTTTCAAGGCTTTACAACAATCTAGTCTTTTTTGCTTCGGAGTTCCTTACACCTTCCATCACTTTAAGATACTGACAGAGCTCAAATTTAAATCGTACAAAACTAGGTGTACTCTTTGCCCATCGACATTTATGAATGTGATATTTCCCTGATATGATAAACAAATTAAGAGCAAAATATAATTTCTTCTCTAACGGCTTTTTATTTTATTTTTTAAATTGTTTTATTGCAATTGAAAGAGTAACCAAAGGCTTATCATAATAAAAATTGTGAAATATATATATATAGAAAACATCAAATTAAAACCTTTTTCACGTCAGTCGCGCTACACGGGAAGTTGCGTCACTTCCTCGCTGTGCCACTGACGTGTCTGATCGCGTGACGGCAGCCAGCGCTGCGCAGGTTAACTTTGCAGCACTTATTTATTTTTTTACACGTTTTGTTTTTTGTTGAACGGTGTTTGTGCTGTTCCTCCTGCTATTGTGCTCGTTCGTGAGTGGCAAAGATGCTGGACTTCTTCTCCATCTTCAGTAAAGGGGGGATCGTGTTGTGGTGTTTCCAGGGGGCCGGAGTGTCTGAGTCCTTCACCGGGCCCGTTAACGCTCTCATCCGCTCCGTCATCCTGCAGGTAACGCCTCAGACCGCCAGAGTACCGCTGTGTCCAGCAAGCGCATGTGAGGGGGTCATGTAGCTTACTGTAGTTACTGTGTAAAATAGCACAAACATTGACTGACAGGTGCATTAGGATGTGTGTTGGACAGTCATGAGGGTTGTGCATGTACTAGCCTTGCTAAAGTGCATATTCATAAATGTAAATCTGTATAAAAATAGTTTTCGAGATTCTTTAAAGACTTCAAAAGATGTACTGCTTTTAAGATCCGGTGGTGTTTTCAGTTCACTTCAGAATTTCACGGATTGTAATATTTATAATATGTTTATAGTCTTTTTGCTTATGAATGTTCTATTTAAACAAAGAGCTTATAGCACACTGCCAAATCAAAGTTTGTCGTATTATTATAAATAATTAGGCTGCTCTTATAAAATTGCCTTATATTATTAGAAAATATTGTTATATCAGAATAATTTTTCTGTATCACAGTAACTCACAATACAAGAATTCAATAATCGTGAGATGTAAACGTGCAATTGCAAGGAAAGTTGGAAGTGTGAATTAAAGTCATAGTTACCTTTTTTATATTTTATTCTGTGGCAAGAATAAAGTCAGAATTGCCAGATGTAAAGTCTGATCTCTGAGCAAGTCCGTTCTGCCCTTTTTGTATTCAGAAATGAGATCTATAAACAGACTTCCATCGTAAACCGCAGTAGCTGCTAACTCGAAGAAAGTAGAATAGAAAGTCAAAAGCTAAAGTTAAGAAAACACATTCCATGAATATTAGATATGTTTGACCAACTATTATCTAACTTAAAATTAACCTCATATGAGAACACATTTAGTGTAAATATCGTGATCCACCACGACTTTGGTCTGTGTTCCGCCTTTTCAGCCAAATACAACAGTTAATTAGAGGAAAGATTTTCAGATTTAGATTAACATGTATGTTAAAGGGATAGTTCACCCAAAAATGAAAATTTGATGTTTATCTGCTTACCCCCAGGGCATCCAAGATGTAGGTGACTTTGTTTCTTCAGTAGAACACAAACTGAGATGTTTAACTCCAGCCGTTGCAGTCTGTCAGTCGTATAATGCATATGGTGTATTAGAGGTCAAATATGATATAAATACTGTTCGGTTTCTCACACAAGCCGATCGTTTCGTGTCTTAGGACACCAATGTGTCGTCACGGGCCGCAGGGTTTAATTTGGATTTGTCTGTGCATGTTTTTTTTCCTCTCATAGATTTAGTTACTATTGCCATGCATTATACGACTGACAGACTGCAACGGCTCAGACTTAAAAATCATAATTTGTGTTCAACTGAAGAAACAAAGTCAGCTACATCTTGGATGCCCTGGGGGTAAGCAGATAAACATCACATTTTCATTTTGGGGTGAACTATCCCTTATGTTAAGACATGTTTGAAGTTGAATGTTTGTTTTTTGGCTTTCTTTTTGCAGGAGAGGAGTGGGAATAACTCCTTCACCCACAATGCCCTCAGTCTTAAATACAAGCTGGACAATGAGTTTGAGCTTGTGTTTGTGGTGAGTGTTGATTTTCCTTTCAATGCAAATAATGTGATTCATCAGATCAGTCAGTGGCCCATGACTCCGCTGTCCGTTTGTCTGATTGTGTGCTTCTGCTGTCTCAGGTGGGTTTTCAAAAGATCCTGACGCTGACGTATGTGGACAAGTTCATAGATGATGTCCAGCTGCACTTCAGAGATCGATACAAGAATGAGCTGGAGCAGAGAGGTGCCCTAAAGTTTCTGCTTAACAATTTTGAGTTTGGAGATGACTTCCACAGACTTCTGCGGTGAGCTAGACCCTTTTTCTGGGTCAATATATATAAATGTGTGTCAAAAAAGCATATTTTTGTCTGAAAAAGTAATTTTTCACACTAAAGCTAAACCTTTAGATCAAAATATAATTTTATTACACATAAACATACTAATTTTGAAAAGTTTGGAGTCTTTTTGTTTTTGAAGAAGAAGAAATTTATAATTTTATTCAGCAAGGATACAATAAATTGATCAAAAGTTACAGTAAAGACATTTCTGTATATTTGATCAGACAGTCCTAAATTTAAATTTAATAAAAAAGTGCAGCCTTGGTTAGCATAAGAGACTTATTTCAGAAACGTTAAAAATAATACTGACCTCAAACTTTTTTTTTTTCCTAAACTTTTCCCACAGGTACGTTATTTTGGCAACATTTTCAGTTTTCAAGAGAAATCAATCTAAGCACTATTTTAATAATTAAATAAAAGTTTACGATTACTATATTTGACTCAATTGAATTGTTGCTATATGAGGAGTATGTGACAGTAACTGAAGAGTTACCAGTAGAAACAGAGCAGTGTCCACATTGTAATATTATTTTCAGCACTTAAGCTCAAGGCATCATCATTTATATGATGTGTTTGTTTTGCAGGGAGGCGGAGGTCAGCAGCAAAGCCAAGGCCCCCGCCTCTATGAGGAATTTCAATGAGTCTGAGAAATCCAAGAAAACTGTGAAGTCTATGATTGAGACAAAAGATGGAGACAAAAGCAAGGAGCAAGGAGGCAAGAAAAGTAAAAATGCCAAAAAGGAAGGTGAGAAATGTAAGAGACTATCAATAAAGCAAATCACTAAAGCTGTAGGTTTGTTACTGTAACCGTTCGTTCTTTTCTTCTTTCACTCGTCGTCAGCTGAATCAGGAGGGGATCAGGCTAAAGCTGCCTCACAGACTGCCTCTAAAAAAGCTGTGGAGAATGGAAACGAGGGCCTGACCCAAGAGGAGATTATCGAGAGGAACCGTGCCAAGTTCATCAGCAAGCAGTTGGGTGGCGGAAAAGCAGAGAAGCCCAGGTAGGACGCTTTATGAATTGTGAGAAAAAGCTTTGTTCATGGCAAATGAAGCCCCACTTGAATTTTGGGCCACACTGGTGTCACAGATCTCAACATGACTAACCACTTAATCGCTTAAACTGTTATTTTGTCTGATTACATAGTTATAATCATTTATCCTTTGTAAAGCAGGATTGTTATCATTAACTAAGGGGCCGTTTACACGACCCTATTCAACAACAGACAGAACAGTTTTTATGCGTTTTGAAGAGCCAGACCGATAGGGGGCCGATAACAATATTAGGGAGTAAAAAAGGCCAATATCGATTAGGGATGCGATCCGCCTTTTTCGCCTCCGATACCGATTCCGATACCTAGGGTTCGGTATTGGCCGATACCGATCTGATACCAGTGAAGTTTTTTTTCCCTCGTTTAAATAAATGTAGAATTTATATATCTCTGTGTGTGGAACTGATAATCATTCTTTCACAATCTACTAGATACAGACTACTTCATTATAAAGAAAAATAAAATAAACAAATATGAAAAAATATAGGCCTATGTATATTTATAATCTATGACAAAAATTAATCATAAACTAGGTTAGTGGATAATTCGGCAGCAAAAGTTATTCTAGAATATATCTGTGACAGGCTCATATCGGCCGATAAAATTGCCAAAACGATATATCGGTCAAACTCTAGTGTTTTGGCTGTTCATTTACACAACAACGTAAAGCTGCACGATTCTGGATA